GATAAAACTCCTGGCTCCTGACTTCAGTGTGGTCCAGCCCTGGCCATTGTGGCCATTTGGAGAGTGAACCAGCAGATGGAAGGTCTCTCTTTCTCTCCCTTTCTCTGTGTAACTCGCCCAAAAATAAATAAATAAGCATTCAAAAAAAAAGAGAATGAAAAAGTACAATTCCCATAAGAATATCCTAGATGCCACAAAGGTAGTGACCATTACTACTTGCAGTTCACATGATAGTGTGGCACCTCAGATGACTATAACTGGCTACCTTTGGCAAATGAGTTCAATGTGATTTCATATAACCATGATAATGACTTTTCTAACCATTCCAGTTATAATCCAGGCACGTGATGGAGGACCATGCCCATCCCATTCTGTTTGATATGGCCATATGGTCTCATTTGGCTGAGGTGTCATGGCTGACTTGTGGGTAAAAGCCTATGAGAATTGGTATATAACTCACTGTTTTCCTTCCTCCAGAAAAGGAATTGGATCCAAGGAGAAAGCCCCATAAGCCTGAGTGGGAATGATATCAAGAAGAACTGCACCCCTCACCCTCCTCCCCCATGACCCTCATTGACAACAAGCAAAACAAAAACACAACTGTTTTTCTGAACCACTAAAACATGTGCTTAACTTCAGCATAACCTAACGTATCCAGACTAATACCATCTCAGCACTGTGGAAAGACTAATGAGGAATGTGCCTAGAAATAGTCTTTGGATTGAAAGTCTGACTTTGTGACCTCTGAGACTTGCTTTTCACAGAGTCTACCATTCCACACCCCTGCACCACTATTTTTGTTCCTTTCTCACTCTAGAACTGTGGTTTCCAGGTCTTATAAAATAATATGTGAATTTCTACCCACACACATTGTGATTTCATCAGTCTGAATCAGAGTCCGAGCATTAAAATTTTTTTGAGTTCAACTACATGACTAGGTTTGAAAATCACTTTCCTAGACTTTCTTAATCCTATTTAATTTGTTCATCCTTCCACACTGAGAATAAATCTTCTCTAGAAATCTTTGTAAATCCAAAGTTCTCACTTGAGCTCTAATAGCAAGCTGGGCACACCTTGTATCTGTAATTAGAGCATGATATTCAGATTATGCATTTCTGTATCTATTTTCTAACCCCCCATGACCTCCTGGAATATGGGGTGTATATTAGAATCATCATGAAGCCCTGGTGCTTGCACAAATCCTGACATCACACCATATATTAGGTGTTTATCCAATGAATTCTTTATTGTTCTAAACAGAAAAAAAGATCATTTGAGTAAAAATAAAGAATCTATTGATGAACTTTGAGGAAAACAGTTTTTAAAAAAAGTGGAATAAAAATTGTTTTAGATTGAGGAATAAATGATAAAGAAAGTTTGGTTAACAATTTGAAGACATTGTCTTTAGATGACAAAATAGATACATGATGATGGTCAAAATAATGTTTGGGGTTATCTTTAGGATGGAAAGCATACGTTTTGTATCATTGGGAAAATTATCAGAATGGAAAATATGTTTCAGCAGAAAAGTAGTTTTGTTAGTCAAGAATTCAGAAACAAAAGTAGGAGGTAGAAAAAAGAGCCCAGGAGTACAAAATATCAAAAGTGGTTATTTCTAGCTGGCTGGATTTGGATGATTTGTTTTTTTCATTTCAGCAGGTGTTCAAGAAGTATTTGTTGAATGAGTAAATTTTCTTTATGTGAGTGAATGGATGTATTTTTTCAATGGTGCAGAGTTGACTTTATCTTATGGTTAAAGACAAAATATCACCATAGGTCCTTTAAAATTTCCTCACATTTTTCCTGATATCTCAATACATGCTCCAGTTTTTTCTACTGCATTAAATAAATGTCACTGGATTTGTAAGTGTCCTTGAGAAATACACCACAGTATTGCATTGTATATTATTTTAAAGTTACAAAATATTTTTGCTATAGACCTTTTTTTCTGTTTCCCTCCTTACTCACCCCTATGTTATTGAGATGTGTATTATAATACATATATATTTAACTCATACCTTCTATTTTAAAAAAAACATTTTTTTATTTATTTGAAAGGCAGAGTTACAGAGAGAGGTAGAGACAGAGAGAGAGGTCTTCCATCCACTGGTTCACTCCCCAAATCCCACAACGGCCGGAGCTGAGCCAATCCGAAGTCAGGAGCCGGGAGCTTCTTCCTGGTCTCCCATATGGGTGCAGGAATCCAAAGATTTGGGCCATCATTCACTGTTTTCCCAGGCACAATAACAGGAAGTTACGTTAGAAGTGGAACAGTCGGGACTCGAACCAGTGCCGATATGGGATACTGGCGCTGCAGGCCAGGGCTTTAACCTACTGCGCCACAATGCTGGCCCCTAGCTTATACCTTCTAATTGCTGCATAATATAATATTATGGGTTTATCCCTTTTATACTCAGCAATTCTCTTCTTGTTGATGAATACCTGGGTTGCCTACAACTTCACAACAACACAAAAGATGTTTCATTGAACACCCTCAAACATGGACTTGGGAAAGTTTATTAGGGATGAGTACCCAGCAAAAGAAATATTAATCCTAAAATAGTCACACACTTCATCTCACCAAGTATATTAAGTATCTCTCCAGAACAAACTGACCAGCTTTACTCTTACTGTTCCTGCACAGGACTCTGATTACCCACATGATTGCTAACAATATTATCCTGCTCTTCAATAGCTGTCAAGCTGATGCATACCATGTCCTATTTCATTGTTGATCTCTTTGGGTTTTTTTTTTTTTTTTGATTACTGATGAGTTTAATTCCCTCTTCACATACTTGTTAACTCTTTATGTTTCCACTTCACATTAATTTCTCACACCATTGTCCATTTTTCTATTTTCTTCTCTTTATCTCTCTTCCTATATGTTTGTTTGGGGCAGTGGGAAGGAATATGTGTCTAGTGTTCCCTTTTTTGTTTTTAAAGGTTTATTTATTTATTATCTTTAAGTCACAGTTACGGGGAAAGACAGAGAGAGAGAGAGAGAGAGAGATCGTCCATCTGCTGATTCACTCCGCAGATGGCCACAGTGGCCATGGCTGAGCCATGCCAAAGCCAGGAAACAGGAGTTTCATCTGTGTCTCCTGCATGGGTGACCGGAGTCACTAGCAGGAAGCTGGATGGGCAATAGAATAGCTGGGACTCAAGTCAGTGCCCATAACGGATGCCAGTGTCATGGTCAGCAGCTTCATCCACTATGTCTCAATGCCGGTCCTGTGTGTAATGTTTTCTCTCAACAATAGAAGTCCTTTCTTCTGCTCCATCATCCCTCTCCCAACTTTTTCATTGAATACCTCACTGAACTAAAATCCTTAACACCAATGTATTAAAATATATCAAGCTGTGTCCTTACAATTTCTGCTTTGGAAGTCTTGTTTGAGAGATTCTTTCCCATCCTGAGATCGCATTATTTCCATATATTCCTTCTTTAAGTTTTTAGTTCTGCTTTCACAGTCAACCTTTAGTCCCTGTAGAGTTTACTTTTATGTGATATGCAGTGCAGATCTAACTTTATTTTTTCTGTATATTAATCTAGTTTTCCCACTATATCCTCCTAAAATATCCATCTGCTCTTCATTTTTTTTATTATTTTTTTTATTTTTTGACAGGCAGAGTGGACAGTGAGAGAGAGAGAGAGACAGAGAGAAAGGTCTTCCTTTGCCATTGGTTCACCCTCCAATGGTCGCCGCGCTGCGGCCGGCGCACCGCGCTGATCCAATGGCAGGAGCCAGGTGCTTCTCCTGGTCTCCCATGGGGTGCAGGGCCCAAGGACTTGGGCCATCCTCCACTGCACTCCTGGGCCACAGCAGAGAGCTGGCCTGGAAGAGGGGCAACCGGGACAGAATCCGGCACCCCGACCGGGACTAGAACCTGGTGTGCTGGCGCCGCAAGGCAGAGGATTAGCCTAGTGAGCCGCGGCGCCGGCCCATCTGCTCTTCGTTGATATGTGGTGCCATCCTTCTCATATGCTACGTAGGATTTTAGATAGGTCGATCAATGTTTGTGACTAAATCTGCATTCTATGTGATTAATAGAGTTGAAATGGGTTTTTTATCTTTGTACCAGGATCATACAATTTATTACTTTGGCTTTGTAACAAGTTTAATATTACTAGGGGTGACTCCAAATCCCCTACTGCCTTTTCTCTCTTTAGACAATTTGTAAGCTATTTTACACTTTATACTTCACTGAAAACTCTAACCTCAGTATCAAATATTTTAGAAGATCCTGTTAGGTTTTTTCAACTAGTAGTGCTTTAAATGACCTGATTAACTCAATAGGAACTGAACTGAGATGTTTACAAATGTTGCCATTTCATCCATGAACTTGGTACAGCAGGTTTTCAGGGAACCTTTAGTGGAGTCTAGGTTTTGTGCAATCTTAATTAGATTAATTACTACATGCTTTACTTTTTTTGTTTCTAATGTGATTTAGTCCTTACTTTTATATTTTCTAAATAATTGTTGCAGATATAGAAAAATGCTGTTGGATTTTTAACTATTTTCTACTTTGTATTTAATTAGCATCAACTACTTTTTAAACAAGTGGTAACACAAGAGGAGAAAAGAACACAGAAGAAAATTTGCCTTCCCAAGGGGCTGGCGCTGTGGCTTAGGGGGTAAAGCCACCACCTCCAGTGCTGGTATCCCATATGGGCGCCAGTTTGAGTCTTTGCTGCTCCACTTCTGATCCAGCTCTCTGCTGTGGCCTCGGAAAGCAGTGGAAGATGGCCCAACTCCTTGGGCCCCTGTACTAGTGTGGGAAACCCTGAAGAAACTCCTGGTTCCTGGCTTTGGATCAGCGCAGCTCTGGCCATTGCGGCTATTTGGGGAGTGAACCAGCAGATGGAAGACCTCTCTCTCTCTCTCTCTCTCTCTCTCTCTCTCTCTCTCTCTCCCTCCCTCCCTACCTCTCTCTCTCTCTCTCTCTCTCTGTAGCTCAAATAAATAAATAAATAAATATTTTTTAAAAATTTGCCTTTCCAAAGAATAAGATCATTCCTCCCTCTAACACAGGAAGGACTGAAATAAAAAAGGTTAAAGATACAGAAAAATGTAGTGGATTAAGTGAAAGAAATTGAACAGTTCACTCCTCAATTGAATATGAAGAGTGTTCAAAAGGTTCATGGAGAGAGTCTTCTATGAAAAAGATTCACATGGATTTCAAAACTTTTTGCACCAAAATAAACTTATCCTTTAATTCCCTTTCCATGTGAACTTTCTGAAGTATCCCCATAATCCTCAGGAATTTAACCTCGTCCTTTGATGAGAAATAATAATTTCCTATTAGAAAATCCAGATCGGTCACCATGAACTACGGAGGGAAACAACCACCAGGAACTGAAGAACTAAACCTTTACAGAGGAGAATAAATTTAAGATCAGACTAAAATCTGAATAACATACTCCTTACCTACTTCCCCCTCTATAAAATGAGGAGGCTGTGCTTGATGACATCTGAGCTTCCTGCGGCCTGAAACCTCAAAAAAATGTTAGAAAATGAAGACGTGTGGGAGGAAAAATAATTTTCAGTGTGAATTAATCTCTGCTGTTGACTTTCCTATTCTATCATTTTCCTTGGCAAAGTGACTTTGAAAACAATTATTCTTTAAGGGAACTCAGAGGAGTAATTTTAGTCTGTAACAATGTGCAGAGACAATTTGGGAAGGGACACTTTTGGAGAAGAATATTTTTACCACCATCATTTTGGCTCGAGATTGAACTGGCTCTTTCCTGGTCATCAGCCTTAACCCCCATTCTACTATTGACATTTTTCAACTGTGTCCACATAATTTAGTATCTTCTGGTTCGGGAAGAGAAGGAGAGAAGTGAAACTTCCAGAGTTGCATTACTAAAGGAAGCTCATCCTTTCAGAAACTTCACTGCCAGATTTTTACTGAGTTCCTCTTTTGAGGGCTAGGACAATCTTTTCTTTCCATACTCAAATAAGAATATATTGAAGCCAACAGGCAAAATGCTTCACCTGAGTGCCTTGCGTAATAAGCATGTTTCTTCACCATGCTGAGTCCCAGTCCTCCAGCTGCACTCCTCGTCCAGTCGCCTCACCAGCATTTCCACGGTACCTGAATACGAGACCAACATCATGATTTTCAAGACTGGCAAAGCTCCGAATCAAATGGTCATCTCTAACTACAGAAACACGGCTTACAGAGATGTGGAAATACAAGTAAATTCATAAGAACAGATACAAGGCTAGTGTTAATATTGAAATAAATTGAAAATAATATAAATGTCACATGTCAAAAATGAAGAATTACACTGGGTCATCGAAGAAGCATCAGCAACCATTTAAAAAGAACATGTTCATTGCTATAAGTGTGCATCTGTGGATGAGTAAAGGTCTCCAGGACAGAAGTGAGAAAAACAGTCTCTGTGACTGAGTGTGACAACCAGGATAGAAAAGTTGTATACAGCCTTGACCCATTCTTGTAGGATGAAGTACACACAAGCAGAGACATATACCTGAAGTGACATCAAAAATGTTAACAATTTTCTCCTCCAGGCAAGAAAGCAGGTAATTTGGGGTGCCCCTTTCTTCTGTATCCTTATATTTCCTAATTTTGTATCATAATTATGTTCTTGTAGTAAAGCCAAAGTCTTACAAGGGGAGAAAACGGGAGGGGGGAAGGCAAGTGAACACAGGAGAACTGGTCCTGGTCTTAGTCCGTCCAAAGTGCAAGAGCAGAAAAGTCCAAGCAAGTCACCAATTGTCCTTGAGCCTCAGTTTCCTTCCCTATAAACAGGAATAGCTGCCTTTCTGGAGCACAGAGCCTTTGTGAGGACTCAGACAGCCTCCCACAAACAGCCAGGAGAACCTGCAAATCCACTCTTCAGTGTAGGTTAACTCAACACAAGTGACTAGACACCCACACAAAGACTTGTATATTAATGTTCATAGCAGCAGTATCCTAACTAGGCAAAAACTAGAGATAACCCAAGTATCCATACAACATGCTACTTAGCAATAAAAAGGACAAACTACTTAAGCATGCAATAGATAAATCTCACAAACATTAAGGCAGATGGAAAATCTATAAAAGCCTGCATGCTGTAACATGCCATTTGCATGAAATTTGAAAACTATAATGACAGAATGCAGAACAATGGCTGTCCAAGATGGAGGGAGCAATGAGGACACAGGAACTAATTGGAGCCTGGAAACATTCTGTATCTTGAATGTGGTGGTCACACAACTGTGAGCACTTGTCGTTCTGATGTATGTCTGAAATGGGTGAATTTTCTGATGTGGAAATTATATCACAATATGACTATTGTTTAAACTATGCAACAGAACTTTTAAAAAAAAACTATCAAAGTATGTGAAGATATACTGCAAAATATAAAGATCTATCAAAATGTAAGGTGTTGTTCTTGAATGAACTTGTTTTACAACAAAGCAAAATACAAAGAAATAACCTTAGAAACTACTCAGCTAATGAAAATTTCCTTTGATAAAAGGGGTCTGTCTGGGTATAAGCAAGGAGAATAAGGAATAAATTTTATCTGTTCCCCTGATTTCTTTTAGCTGTGTTGAATTCTACATAAAAGTTCAGGGGAAAATATATATCTGCTAAGTTATTTTAATACTGTTCCATACTGAATACTCAGTTGGAAATTATAGAAGAAAATTTTCCCAGCTTCCACCCCAAATCCTGCCATTAGTAACCTTGCAAAACATCCATCAGATGTTAAATATTTGGAAATGTTGCATTTCCAGCAACACTAGAGAAGCTGAGGCTGCAAATTGTCCGTTAGTAGCCTGGGGTTGCCTGCTAGTCAGCTGCAGAAGCAGACTCTGGAGCTCCGTCTCCTGGAGCCCTAATGCCCGGTCACCAGCCAGCCCTGTCCCAGAGAGAAAGCTGTCTGCAGAAGAAATGCACACAAGAATCAATGAGAGGACAGGGGAGGATCAAGGAGGAGGAAGTGGTAAATGTGGGGGCCACCAAAGAAGGAAGCCTGGGAAGAAGTGGCAGGGGGCCAGACATCAGGTCCTCCTCTCACAGCTGCGGCCTGGCTGGCCTCTGGTACCCCTCATTGTGGACATGAGGGCAGGCTGACCACATGACGCTCTCCGGACTGTGTCTAGGGTGACTGTCCAGCGTGTCTCAGTCATGGGATGAGGGACTCATAACACGGCTCCCTGAACCTCTAGGTGGAAAATGAATCGTTAGAAACCCTACTTCTTTTTGTTTCTTTTTAAAAGATTTATTTGTACTTGAAAGGCAGAGTGAAACAAAGAGACAGTCAGAGAAATATCTTCAATCCACCGGTTCATTCCCTAATTGGCCACAACAGCCAGGACTGGGCCAGACCGAAGCCAGGAGTCAGAAACTCCATCCACGCCTCCCGCATGGGTGGCCAGGCTGAAGCACTGGGCCGTCTTCCCAGGTCTCCCCAAGAGCACGCCCAGGAAGCTCACAGGATACAGAGCATCCAGGACTGGAACCCTAGAACCGGCACTCTGATATGGAATGCTAGGTTAATACCCTCTGCCACACTGCTGGTGCCAACCCTACTTCTTACACGACTGTGCGTTTTGTTTCTAACGGGTCTTGTCAGGCCCTCTTCATAGTTTTTGGACAGCTAAGGTAAGAGAGCCCTGGAGTCCATCACCTCTGGCTTGACTTCTCCGTGCACTCCTTCTTCAGAGAGGGTGGGCTGGAGGAGCAGAGGAACCTGCAGGACCTGGCTTCACCCAATCTTTATACTTCTGGGCATGCTTTTCAAAGATAATTTCCATCGGTTTCATATTAGTACTATGACAAAGTAGTGCATCATCATTACATAGCTCTCTTTTTTTATTTCCTCCAAAGAGAAAAGGGCAAAAGCTTCTGATCCCACCACTAGCAGCGTGTTATGATGCTGAACCTGTCATTCATAATCATGCATACTCATGTTTATGCTTTCTAACCAGCTTTTTCCATTTACTGCACCATGAACATGTAGCAAATTCTTACATTTTTAATTTAAACCTTCTTCTATTGCATATTTTAATGTCTTCATGATTAGTGGCATACTCTATGAATATGTGATAATTTATTTGAATAAGTCTCCCTTACCAGATAGATTTCCCAGTGAAGGAATTTTTTGCTTTTAGGAACAACATGTTAATAACAGCACTTAAGAAGTACTTTTTCCAAAAATATCAAATCAAATCTAATCACATATTTAGCTCTAACTTTCACGATACAGGAAATGAAACCTTCTGAAGAGTACACAACATGGGACATTTTACAGAACTAGTCAGCTAGCATGTTCAGCAAGTTGCTGGCAAGCAGACAAGGAGGGTGGGTATCACTGTTCTAAGTGAGAAAAAATACTAAAAACATCGTAAGAAAATGTAATGTATAGGTCTTGTTTGGATATTGATTTGGATTAATCAATTTTAAAAGAATACTGGGGGATGAGGAGGGGAAACAGTGGCATTCAAATATGGACTAGTATTGAAGAGCTGCCACTGGTTTTGTGAGGTGCAACAATGGCAATTACGTTGAAATGCATCCATACATGTTACATACAGCAGCACTTAAACAACAAATGGCCATCATCTTAGGAAGTCTCCTAGGGGCCAGCGCTGTGGGTTAGACGGCCTCCTGCAGTTCTGCCATTCCATATGGACACCAGTTCGAGACCCGGCTGCTCCACTTCCTATCCAGCTCTCGGCTATGGCCTGGGAAAGCAGTGGAAGATGGCCCAAATCCTTGGGCCCTTGCACTCATTTGGGAGACCCAGAAGTTCCTGGCTCCTGGCTTCGGACCCACACAGCTCCAGCCATTGCAGCCAATTGGGAAGTGGACCAGCAGATAGAAGAATGGAAGACTTTCTCTCTCTCGCTCTCTCTCGCTCTGCCTCTGCCTCTCTTTCTGTGCGTAACTCTGACTTTCAAATAAATAAATAAATCTTAAAAAAAGAAGTATCCTGGTCCCTAACAATGTCCAATATTTGCTTTAAAATTGCAGGGAAAATGAGTAAGAGAAGGACACTTAGTAACTGTTACTAAGCTTAAATCTGGCTAATTAAATCTAGATGATGGGCAAATATGGGCTCTTTTCAAGGCCTTCTACTTTATATATGCTTAAAAAATATTTTGGTTCCTTTGTACAGAAAATCTCAAACACAAAAGTCAATGCAATACTAAATGAACTCCCTTTGAGGATAGGCATTGTGGGATAGCAGGTTAAGCTATGGTCTGCAATGCCTGCCTCCCAATTTGGAGTGCCTGGTTTAACTCCCAACTACTCTGCTATTCCCATGCAGCTTCATATGAATGCGGCTGGGAGGCAGTGGATCATGGCCCAACTACTTGGGTTCCTGCCACCCACACAGGGGACCCGGATGGAATTCCTCGCTCATAACTTCAGCCTGGACCAACCCTGGCTGTTGATGACATTTGCGGAGTGGAACAGCCAATGAAAGATATCTGTCTCTCACTATCTCTTCATCATGCTGCCTTCCAAATAAGTAAATAAATTTTGAAATAGTGAACTTCCTTTACCCCATTACCAAAGCTCAGCTCTCATTAATACATGGTCAATGTTGCTTTCTCAATATCACCTCCCATTTCCTCACCTTCATATTATTCAGAACAAATTCTGCACTTCCTATCATTCATTCATAAATACTTTAGTATGTGTCTCTAAAGGATGAGAGGTATTTATTTATTTGACAGGTAGAATTATAGACAGTGAGAGAGACAGACAGAGAGAAAGGTCTTCCTTCCGTTGGTTCACCCCGCAAATGGCCTCAACAGGCAGAGCTATGCTGATCCGAAGCCAGGAGCCAGGTGCCTACTCTTGGTCTCCCATGTGGGTGTAGGGGCCCAAGCACTTGGGGAGAGGTCTTTTTTAACATAACCACAATATAATTATTATACTAAAATTTAGTGGCGAGTGTTTGACCTAGAAGTAAAAGTCTGTACCCCATACTGGAGTGCCTAGGTTCCAGTCTTGCCTTTGCTCCCAATTCCAGATTCCTGCTGATGTGCATGCACTCTGGGAGGCAGCTGGTGACAATTCAAGGAACTGGGTCCCTGCCACCCATTATGGAGGGAATTAGATTGAGT